CCTCGCAGCGCGGCCAGCCCTCCAGGCAGCAGCATCGGGGCCCACGTGCGGGGTCCCAGTTTGCAGGAGGCGGGGACGGACGTGTGTGCTTGTTTGGGACGCCCCGTTGCAAGCTGTGGGCATCGGGACTGGTTCTGGCTGCCACCGGGACCGTGGGGGGACCCTGGAGTGGGACGTTACCCGTTACCGAAGGAGCTGCTAGCTCCCTGGCTTCGGAGTCTCCAGCTCTTAGCGCTCGGCGACGCCCCCTTGCACAGGAGGGTGCACGCCCCCCAAATCTTAATACTTTCTGACGGTGTGTTCAGATATGATTTTGTGTGTGTGTGTGAGTGTCCCTCGTTGGGGCTTAAGAGCATCTAATGGCCCAAGCAGGGCAGACAGTCAGACATGTTTTGTGTGCGAGAGAAGCAATGGCCTGCTGACCTCCTGGCGTCTCCCACTGACCACTTGGGAGGCTCAGCACCTGCTGGCCCTCAGGTCTCCCTGCTCACCAGGCTTCGGGGCACCGTTGGTGGGTTCTACTCAGTCTTTTTAAAAAAATGTGTCATTATTAATCAGGCTTTACTGAGAAGCTGCAACAAGGTAGATTTGGGGGCTAGAACTTAAACGAAGTCTTGGCTGTCTGCCTTTGAAAGAAAGACATCTGTGGGGACTTTTAGCTCTTGCACAGGGAGTCTGGTGGAAGCTTGAGAGCCAGGGAGAATCACTGGTTCTGCTGTGGCTTCCTGTGGGTCGAGGAGGGTCTGAATTCACATAGGTCTCCAACCTCTCTAGGCTGTTCTTCCTTTCTTAGGCATTTCCTTTCCCACGATGGGATGGCTGTACATGGTCTACCTCAGAAGGATGTTCTGAGGATTAGCTGGGCATAGTAGGGTGTCTTTGGGTTCATGACCAGAGGCATTTTTTATAATTACATATATATATTTCGGAGAGGAAGGGTGAGGGAGAGGCAGAAACATCAGTGATAAGAGCAAATCACTGATCGGCTGCCTCCTGCACGCCCCACACTGGGGATCATGCCCACAACCCCGGGCATGTACCCTGACCAGGAATCGAACCAGGACCTCCTGGTTCATAGGTCAATGGGTCAACCACTGAGCCATGCTGGCCGGGCTGAGCAGGGGAGTTTAAGTATTGCCCACAAGTGACCTCCCCGTGTAGCATAGGGGATTGCCTGCAAAGAATTCGAGGAGCTGTGTCCCAAAGATGTGACAAGAACCAGAGCGTAGACTTTGCAGGAATCCAGGGAAAAGTAGGTCAGATCGCGCTCCTGTTATCCTGACAGTTACTTCTCCGTGGCACAGCGCACGGAGGCACGCGGGCAGCCAGGCAGGCTGGGAAGGGAATGCCGAGGCTTTTGTGTAAACAGGTCTTAGTGTTCATCTGCATGGAGCCAGTGGTTCTTGCCGCCTGCGGTGATGCCGTGTGCCTTGCCAATATGCAAGTTTACACTTATCTTCTCAATTATTCTGAATATGGTTACTTCAAGTAATGTATACTTTATTAACTTTTCTTCAGTTCTGATACTGTATTCTCTTTGAGACAGTCCAAACACATTTCATAGGTGCATGGCCAGTTTCTTATTGGGGGAAGATTGTCAAATTTTCCATGGTTGGAAACTCATACTTTTCACCGGTCTTGCCCTCCTTTGGCTTTGGAACTTGGAACCTCCCATAACGAAAGTGTAGGAATGTGAAAGAAAGAAGAGTGGGTGAAATGTGTGCCGGTATTAGTCTGCTCAGGCTGCCATGACGAAGTGCCCTAGACTGGGTGGCTTAAGCAGCAGAAATGTATTTTCTCACAGTTCTGGATGCTGCGAAGTCCACGATCGAGGTGCCAGCTGATTTGGTTTCTGGTCAGAGCTCTCTTCATAGGCTTGTAGATAGCTGCCTCCTCCCTGCGTCCTCACATGGCCATTCCTCATGCACATGGAGAGAGAGAATCTCTCTCTTCCTTTCCTTATAAGCCCACTAATTCCATCACAGAAGCCCCACCCTCATGACCTAGTCTAACCCCTGCCCCGACTCCATCTCCAAATACTATCACATTGGGTTTAGGTCTTCACGTTATGGACTTTGAGGAGACACACATTCAGTCCATAACAGGAGTGCTTTGAAGAACTGTATGTACCAAACCAGTTGGTGACTTGTGAGCATCTGAGGTAATTTGATTAGCTTCTTGGTTAGGGCAGTGAGGCTAATGCAAACGACTCATGGCTATATCTTCTCTGGACCTTTTGTTTTGTATCTCATGGGCTGCACCTCCAGATTACAGCTGAGTGATTGTACGGACACGTTAACATGAAATCATTACCCCTGGTTTTTTTAAAAAAAAAAGCAGCTCTGTGCATTGCACAAATTGGTATGAAAGTTTGCAATTTCTGCATTGACCAAGATCTCATTGAGGATCTGGTAGCTTTTGTCCACGCTGCCTTGGGCTCTCACAAATCTGATAGCAACTGTCATCCTGTAAGCTCTTCGGGGGTTGTGTTGCCCAACCAGAATGGCTTGTAGGCAATCTCTTCCTGGGAAAATCAAGCTGACATTTGGTTAATACTGCAGAACCCCAGGGTTCCTGGGTTCAGTAACTTCTAACCATATTGGATTCCAAATGCACACTGATTAAGACTCTTTGCACCTCTTTAGGCTAAGTGGGGAATGACCAAATTTTGACCTGTGGGAGGACCCTAGCTACTGCTTAAAAATTAGTGGTAAGATAAGGCACAGCTTGAATTCCCACCAAAACCCTTTATTCATTTGTTGAGATTATGAGAAATTAGTATAATAAGCACCCAGGCTTCAACAGTTATTAACATTTGCCAGTTTTGTTTCATTTATTTCCTCTTTCTCCACTTTTTTTTTTGTGTGTGTGGAGGCTTGTGTATTTTAAGGTAAAATCTAAAATATTATGTCATCTCACTCATAAATGTTTCAGTTTACATCACTGATAAGGACTTTTTACCTTTAAAGAAACAACTTCTATGCCTTTTTTTACACACAAAAATGTTAACAATAATCCTTAATATAATTCCCATATTCAGATTTTCTTTTACTTATGATTTGTTGGAATCAGGAACAAAATAAGGTCCTTAGGTGTTGAAATATTTTATTTGTCGTCCCCTGTCCCCTGCCTGGTTTTTCATGCCATTGATTTGTTGGGGAGAGTGGGTCATTTTCCCAGTAGAATGTCCCATTTTCTGGGCTGATTTCTTACCATGGTGTTGTTTCACTTGTTTCTCTATTCTCCATGTCTCCTGTAAGCTGGCAGTTAGATGGAGAGGCTGGATTAGATCCAAGTTCAAAGGCAAGCATCCTTCGTAGGTGGTGCTGCGTAAAATCCATTGCATCACATCACAAGATGCACGATGTCTAGATGGTTCTTTTTGAGATGTTAAGATTGATTAGCGGATTGAGGTAGAGTCAGCTTACCTTTCAGCCTTTCACCTAATCATTTTAGCATCATAGATGATTGTAGCCTAGATCTAAATCTATGATTCCTCTTTTAAAAATGTTTATCGTTTTTATTGATGTAGTTGACATATAACATTATATTAATTTCAGGTGTACAACATAACGGTTCAATATTTGTAGATACTGTGAAATGGTCACCACAATAAGTCTCGTTAACATCCATCACCACACATAATTGCAGAATTTTTTTTCTTGTGATGAGAACTTTTAAGATTTACTCTCTTAGAAACTTTTAAATATGCAATACAGTATTATTAACAATAGTTGCCAGGCTGTACATCATATCCCCTGACATTTATTTTTATAACTAGAAGTTTGTACCTTTGACTTCCTTCACCCATTTTGCTCACCCCACATGCACCCTCCAAACCTCCACCTCTGGCAACCAGCAGTTTGTTCTCTGTATGTGAGGTTTTGTGTGTGTGTGTGTGTGTGTGTGTGTGCGCACACACGTGTGTGTATGTGTTTTAGATTCCACATATAATGAGATCATATGTCTTTTTCTGTCTGACTCATTTCACTTAGTCTAATACCCTCAAGTTCCATCTATGTTGTTGCAAATGGCAAGATTTCATTCTTTTTAAATGGCTAAATGATAGTCCATTGTATATATACCACATTTTCTTTATCTATTCACCCATTTATGGACATTTAGGTTGTTTCCATGTCTTGGCTATTGTAAATAATGCTGCAGTGGACATGGGGGTGCAAGTTAGTGTTTTTGTTTTTGAGAAAGTACCCAGAAGTGGAGTTGCTGGATCCAATGCCAGTTCTATTTTTAATTTTTTTGAGGAACTTCCTTATTGTTTTCCATAGTTGCTGCACCAATTTACATTCCCATTAACAGTGCACAAGGGTTCCCTTTCCTCCACATCCCACATCCTCACCAGCACATGTTATTTCTTGTCCTTTTTGTATCACTCCTCCTGCATTTATTAATTGGAATTCTGTCTGTAAAAAACTCACCCTCATGGACTATCTGAGTCTCCTGAAATTTAGATTCTGCAGGAAAGACAGGGAAAAGGCTTAATTTTTTTCCCTTTAATCAATTTTCTGAATAATGATTTGTGCTCTAACAACCTCCCATGATAATCAATGTTTCTCTTTTTAATGTATCATTAAGAACTGTGGATCTTAATGTATTTGCTTCAGTCCATTGCAGTCAATATTCTTTCTGATGCTCAATTTGCCCTCGTCTCCTGTATACTGTTACAAAGGCCCCACTGGTGTCTGATACTTTCTTGCTTTCTGGTACAAGATATTCGAAGCTTATCTTGTCCATTCCGGGCTTCAGACCTGAAGTCAGCCATTTTCCCAAGGAGAACTAATTCTTTTTACTGAAAACCATTTATCTCCCCTGATTTTTGCTCCTCTTAGTAGTTATATTATTTTTACCTTGGTCTTAAGCCTTTCACCTTAAGTGTTTGTTTCTTTTAAATCCTTCTCATCAGGCTGTGTCTAAGACCGTCATTTTCTCCCTCTAATAAAATAGCTGGTGACGACCATCCGCTCCGTCTGTATCTCCTGCCAGAGCCTTGGCTCTGACTTTTTCTGAGCTTTGGCCTCCGTGATCTTTTCTGCGGTGCTCTCCACCTTCTTCAGCTCCTGGAAATCTGTTCATTTCCAGCAGCCAGAGCGCTCACCGATGTGCCACGTTGTTCCCCAAAGCCCAGCCGTGATTCTCAGGCTTTGGACTGGCTTCTCTCCCCGACCTCTTCCCCATCCACCCTTCCCTCGGGCAGGGTCCCTGACCTGGCTGGTGAGGCTAGAGAGACTGGCCGAACTGCTGCTGGCTCTGCTGACATCCTCTCATTTCCATCTGCGTCACTACCCGGAAAATTCCCTCTCCAAGAGGAACAAGGTAGCCCATCGCCCTGTCCAGGGTGAAGCGCGTTACCTGGGACTTCATCCCTCCTCTGCCGGAAGTAAGGCTGTGCTGATTGAGAAACACTGGCTGCTCCAGTTATCTGGCAGGCCCCACTCATAGTCATGTTATACACACATCTTCCAGGCAAAGCATGTACTTTGTTCTTTGTATTTAAATTAAAAGCAATGGCTGACACTTCATGACACTTAACTGCAGTGCCATGCGTGTTCTGATATAAACTTCTTCGAACCCTCACACCAAGTCTGTGAGTTGCATTCTAGATGCTGTTATTTGCATTCTACAGATGAGGGAAGGGAAACATGCACCTTGCCTAAGGTCACAGAGTGGGTGGGCGGAGGGAGGTTTGAATCCAGCCATTCTGGTTCCATAGTCCTTGCTCTGAATTGACTCTGGTTTTCCTCAAATGCACTGAGGGCAAAGGGTATATTTACTCTGAACTGCCATAGCCTTAGAGTACCTGCTGCTACCACCAGGTCACCCCGAGAGGGGCAGGTCATGCCGTTGGTAATGCCAGACGTTAATGTTCTTTTCATTTGAGCACACAAACGCTGGGGATAGACCTACTGGGTGTGAGGGCAGGCAGGGAGGGGGAGGACATATTGTGGCCATAGGTGAATGGTAACTAATACTAAAATTAAAAGTAGCATCCGTGTGTCATAAGCAAAAATCAGCCAGGCCCACCTTAATCAAAGTCAATCCAAAAAGCTTATGAATTTACCTGTTTAAATAAGGTCACTAAGGCAGGCTGGCATCTTCCAGGGAAGGTGAGTCAGATCAGACACGAGGGACACATGATGATATTATTTCAGAAGCATTGACTATCTACCAGCTCGAGCCTTGACAGTATTATACAACTACTAGAGGCCCGGATTTGTGCATGGGTGGGGTCCCTCAGCCTGGCCTCTGCCCTCTCGCAATCCAGGACCCCTCGAGGGATGTCGGACTGCCAAGGGATGTAGCAGTGACGAAGCGGCAGGCAGCCAGGGAGGAGCCCCAGCTGGGGCCAGGCGCAGCTCTGCTCCAGGCCCCACTGCACCTGCCGCTGCTGCCCCCGCCCAGTAGCACTGCCGCGGAGGTGGGAGAGGCTCCCACCGCTGCAGCTACGCTCACCAGCTGTGAGCCTGGCTTCTGGCTGAGTGGCGCTCCCGCTGTGGGAGTGCACTGACCACCAGGGGGCAGCTCCTGCATTGAGCATCTGCCCCCCTGGTGGTCAGTGCACATCATAGTGACTGGTTGTTCGGTCCTAACAGTCGCTTAGGCTTTTATATACATAGATGTTACCATGGCTACAAATAAAGTAAACACCATGGATGCCACCTCTAAAAATATTTAGTTGGGGAGAAGGAAAAGAAATTATAGATTCATTTATTCTCTTTTAATTTCATGTGAATTTTAGCAAAGGCACTCAATGGCAAGTTCATGCTGTACTTACTCATTTCTTTCTCTTCCTTCTGACACTCACACAGGCGGTGGCTGCTTAATTAGACCAGAGGGAAAAAGCCTGGGTTATGGCTTCAGAATAGGCCTTGAATCCCAGTGCCATCGCTCTGTATCCTTGCATGACATTCTCTGAGCTCTTTAAGCCTCAGTTTCTTCTTCTGTAATGAGATGCACTATGGGTCAGGTTTTCCAAGAATAGAGATAAGACATAGAAAGTTTGGGGCACACTGGAGCTTAAACTTTTCCTTCCCCAGCTGGGTGCTTATTCTAGGGGAATGGGCTTTCGTAGACATATTTATGGGAAGCTAGGCACAAAAATTTTTTTTTTTGCTTTCGTATGCAATGTCAGATTCTATGTTTTTAAAAATTGGGATATCCTAACAGATAGTGCGTATTTAAGGTGGTGCCTAAATAATGGTGCCATACATAATAGTCTGAGTTTCTCACTTGCACCATCTCTTAAATTGGCAGTAATTGGTAACTTGTGTAGCTAAAAATAGGTGGAAAGGTGGGAGGTAAGTCATTGGTGATGACTTTGAGGTTTCTTTTTTTGCTTTAATACAGTATCTGCATAATAACCCTTGTTAGGGATACGATAATTTCAGTAATATGTGGTCTGGAAGTAGTTTGTGAGAAGTTATACAAATTTCTCTGAAGGTAAAATAGTTAAAATCAATGACCTAACTTTTTGCGGTAATTTAGTGTTCTGAAAAACCTTTCATAAATGGATATGGAAAAGGGAAAGTCCGCAGACGCCATTGTGGACACTGGCATGTCTTTATTAGATTGAAACTTCAATAGCCCCCTACAGGGAGGAAATTACAGTCCAGAGAAATTAAGTAACTTTTCATGGTCACCCAGCAAGGAAGTAGGAGAGGCAGACAGGAGCTCAGGACTGTTTAATACCAAGATCTGTGTCTTTTCCACAAAACCATGTAATCTAAGACTTTGACATAATTATAACACATGGTTGATTGAAACAACGGATGCACCGGACATTCCAAGGCTTAGTGTAAAACCCAGCTGGCTCACTTTCAAGTGCCTTCAGTAATGGCTTCCAGGAGCGGTCTTTCTTGCACACTAGTGTCCTGGTGCACGAATTCATGCACATTGAAAGGAAATTAATTAGAAGAAATTTGTTTTTGTTTTTGTTTTTTTTAAATATATTTTATTGATATTTTACAGAGAGGAAGGGAGAGGGATAGAGAGTTAGAAACATCGATGAGAGAGAAACATCGATCAGCTGCCTCCTGCACACTCCCCACTGGGGATGTGCCCGCAACCAAGGTACATGCCCTTGGCCGGAATCGAACCTGGGACCCTTCAGTCCGCAGGCCGACGCTCTATCCACTGAGCCAAACCGGTAAAAGCTTATGAATTTACCTGTTTAAATAAGGTCACTAAGGCAGGCTGGCATCTTCCAGGGAAGGTGAGTCAGATCAGACACGAGGGACACATGATGATATTATTTCAGAAGCATTGACTATCTACCAGCTCGAGCCTTGACAGTATTATACAACTACTAGAGGCCCGGATTTGTGCATGGGTGGGGTCCCTCAGCCTGGCCTCTGCCCTCTCGCAATCCAGGACCCCTCGAGGGATGTCGGACTGCCAAGGGATGTAGCAGTGACGAAGCGGCAGGCAGCCAGGGAGGAGCCCCAGCTGGGGCCAGGCGCAGCTCTGCTCCAGGCCCCACTGCACCTGCCGCTGCTGCCCCCGCCCAGTAGCACTGCCGCGGAGGTGGGAGAGGCTCCCACCGCTGCAGCTACGCTCACCAGCTGTGAGCCTGGCTTCTGGCTGAGTGGCGCTCCTGCTGTGGGAGCGCACTGACCACCAGGGGGCAGCTCCTGCATTGAGCATCTGCCCCCCTGGTGGTCAGTGCACATCATAGTGACTGGTCGTTCGGTCCTAACAGTCGCTTAGGCTTTTATATACATAGATGTTACCATGGCTACAAATAAAGTAAACACCATGGATGCCACCTCTAAAAATATTTAGTTGGGGAGAAGGAAAAGAAATTATAGATTCATTTATTCTCTTTTAATTTCATGTGAATTTTAGCAAAGGCACTCAATGGCAAGTTCATGCTGTACTTACTCATTTCTTTCTCTTCCTTCTGACACTCACACAGGCGGTGGCTGCTTAATTAGACCAGAGGGAAAGAGCCTGGGTTATGGCTTCAGAATAGGCCTTGAATCCCAGTGCCATCGCTCTGTATCCTTGCATGACATTCTCTGAGCTCTTTAAGCCTCAGTTTCTTCTTCTGTAATGAGATGCACTATGGGTCAGGTTTTCCAAGAATAGAGATAAGACATAGAAAGTTTGGGGCACACTGGAGCTTAAACTTTTCCTTCCCCAGCTGGGTGCTTATTCTAGGGGAATGGGCTTTCGTAGACATATTTATGGGAAGCTAGGCACAAAATTTTTTTTTTTTGCTTTCGTATGCAATGTCAGATTCTATGTTTTTAAAAATTGGGATATCCTAACAGATAGTGCGTATTTAAGGTGGTGCCTAAATAATGGTGCCATACATAATAGTCTGAGTTTCTCACTTGCACCATCTCTTAAATTGGCAGTAATTGGTAACTTATGTAGCTAAAAATAGGTGGAAAGGTGGGAGGTAAGTCATTGGTGATGACTTTGAGGTTTCTTTTTTTGCTTTAATACAGTATCTGCATAATAACCCTTGTTAGGGATACGATAATTTCAGTAATATGTGGTCTGGAAGTAGTTTGTGAGAAGTTATACAAATTTCTCTGAAGGTAAAATAGTTAAAATCAATGACCTAACTTTTTGCGGTAATTTAGTGTTCTGAAAAACCTTTCATAAATGGATATGGAAAAGGGAAAGTCCGCAGACGCCATTGTGGACACTGGCATGTCTTTATTAGATTGAAACTTCAATAGCCCCCTACAGGGAGGAAATTACAGTCCAGAGAAATTAAGTAACTTTTCATGGTCACCCAGCAAGGAAGTAGGAGAGGCAGACAGGAGCTCAGGACTGTTTAATACCAAGATCTGTGTCTTTTCCACAAAACCATGTAATCTAAGACTTTGACATAATTATAACACATGGTTGATTGAAACAACGGATGCACCGGACATTCCAAGGCTTAGTGTAAAACCCAGCTGGCTCACTTTCAAGTGCCTTCAGTAATGGCTTCCAGGAGCGGTCTTTCTTGCACACTAGTGTCCTGGTGCACGAATTCATGCACATTGAAAGGAAATTAATTAGAAGAAATTTGTTTTTGTTTTTGTTTTTTTTTAATATATTTTATTGATATTTTACAGAGAGGAAGGGAGAGGGATAGAGAGTTAGAAACATCGATGAGAGAGAAACATCGATCAGCTGCCTCCTGCACACTCCCCACTGGGGATGTGCCCGCAACCAAGGTACATGCCCTTGGCCGGAATCGAACCTGGGACCCTTCAGTCCGCAGGCCGACGCTCTATCCACTGAGCCAAACCGGTTAGGGCATGAAGAAATTTGTTAATATCACTATTCGCATCTTGCTAATGAAAAGAAAATAGGATTCCACCAAGTCTCCTATCTACCTACTCCAGGACTTCTATGAGTATCAAATGAGATGAGGCATGGGAAAATGCTTCCCAAACATTTGGTTAAATTGTAAAATGTTTGCACCTGGCTATAAAGCAGGTCGGGTTCCTAGGCTGAAGATACTCCAAGGATGCTAGTTGCTAGGGACAGGAAGCTGGGTGTTGCTACATGACATCATTACTTGGTTCCTACAGCCACTGTTTCCGGGCTGGGCTGGGGGCCACATTTTGCGCCATGGAGCCTTGGCAGTGTTGGCTGAGATTTGGTGGGGTGTTGCTCCAGGGTGGTGGTGGGGCCTGTGTCCCACTTGGGGGAAGTCAAGTGTTGGTTTGTCAGTGCCAAGTCCATGGTGCCATTTATTTTTAAATGGCTAGTGCGCGTCATGGCAGCTCCTGGGTTGAGTGTCTGCCCCCTGGTGGTCAGTGCATGTCATAGCTACCGGTCGGCTGGACAGACACTTAGCCTTTTATGTATATAAAGGGTGTCCCAAAATTCACGCAAGAAGTAATTTTGATAGAAAACACAGGTTTATAATTAAAAATTGTAAATTTTTTATTGATTCATAAATTATACAGTATAAGGTTATGTATGGAATAGCATACATAAAAACTGGATTATCATGTTGCAATAGCGAGCACCATTAACTGTTATTGCCCGAGCAGCCGCATTTTTGAAGAAGAATGGTCCGATGATGCCTCCAGCCCAAAATCCACACCAAACAGTGACACGTTGTGGATGCATTTGTTTCTCAACAATCACTCGTGGATTTTCTGAACCCCAAATGCGACAATTTTGTTGATTAACCAAGCCATCAAGATGAAAATGAGCCTCATCGAAATTCAGCCACATTTATGCAAAACGGTCATGGAAAATTTCAACAAAAGAGTGCGTATGTGCCAGCAAAGCTTTTTAATTATAAACCTGTGTTTTCTATCAAAATTACTTCTTGCGTTAATTTTGGGACACCCTTTAGATCGTTTGGCAATGGCTTGAGCAGCAGCTGTCATCATCTCCCAGCAATACCAGCCTCTTACAAGAAACATGAAGGTTTAGGATGACTCATCCCAGAAGCCATTGTTTTCCCAGGAGGTTTGGAAGCTGACTAGGTCCACATTGCAAATGCACGTGAGATGTATGAACAAGCGGGCTCCTCTCTTGTGGTGCCTGGGAGACTGGAGCAGAGGGCGGAGTTTCTGGTAATAGAATTTCACTTCTAATGGCGACTTGATATCTTGACAACTTCAGATTAGGAAATGGGAAGTGCTGACACTGGAATAAAGTCATTGAGAGCACACAGATATCTTTTGCAACATTAAACCCTGGGATCTTTCTTTATTTTCTAATGTGGTGTGAGGACCCCGAGCGAATGGCCCTGACATTTGGATCCCAGGCCTTTTGAAGAACGAGAGGATAGCACCCCAGGAAAATGCACGTGCAGGCGTAACTTCGCATCTCATTTCAGGGGCCTTTAGAGGCCGTGAAGCCTGGGTCACTGCAGACCCTGCTTGTGGAGAGCAGCACGTGGTTCTATAATGATTTTACTTTTTATAAAATCTTTTTCTTCAAAAACCTAACATAGTCTCAAGCAATGATTCTCTTGTCAGTGAATACTTCCTTGAATTATTTTGTCGGTTAGTCGGATTGAAAATGGTTCGCCTCTAAAGGTTAGTGAGCCCTGGTAGGTGGTGGTGGTGCCGATGATTATTATTATTTAACAAGTCCTTATACAACATTTGTGGTCCAGTTGTTTGAAGTACTTTAAGAACATTAACTCTTTTAGTCCTTATAACAACCTTAATGGGGCAGATTCTCTCATTGTCCATTTTTATTCCAAAGAGGAAAATGAGATGCAGAGAAGAGAAGCAAAGTTGCCTGAGATCATCCTTTAAGTGGAGGAGCCAAGATTTGAACCCGAGAAAGCAGGCTCCATATGAAAAGGTCTACCTCTTCTGCTGTATCTTCTCTCTCAATAAAATATGTATTTCCTGATTGCAGTCTTCCCCCTGACTCTCTTGTCTATTTTTTTTTTTTTATGGAGTAGGGATGTATGTTACAATGATGTGATCATTTAATGGAATATATTTCCCCCTGTAAAGCTATTATTAGTGATGGTGTGTCTTAAAATTTTTGGTGTTTTAGAATGCAGGAACTATAGTAGAGTCATGTTTTAGTGTCTAAATTTAGCTGCATAGTTTATCTGTAGAAATATCAAAGTAAATCACAGCTTTAAAACAAAATCCATATCTATTTATGAAGTGTGAAAAATATGAATTAAGATGATTTTAACAGGGGATATGAAACTGATGTTGCTTAGGCGTTGATTTAAATGTCAGGAGAATAAATTTAAATTTTTTTCTTGAAAAAGCATGAAAATAGCCTCAGAGTAACATTAAAGTGGGAGAAACCAAAATCCTTTTCAGTGAAATTATATACACATATAAAATTTATTATTGGTTTCCTCACAGATTTTTTTTTTAAAGTCAAGTTTAAAGTTAAACCTCCCATATAGATTTCTGTTTTTAAAACAAAGGCCTGTGAATATGCTCAAATGACAATAGATTCAGACTTGCCTTTGAGTCACCAGACTTTGGGTGGTGAGCTGGCAGATCTCACCTGTGACTCAGTTCACCTTTTTTTATTTTGTCTGCTTTGTTCACCGGGCATTGGCTTCCCCCGGGTAAAAGGCTTTTCTTTCCTTTCGCACTGTTTGTGTTCCTGCAGAGAGCACCTAATTCAGGTTTCTAATAAAGGCCCAGCAAGCCCCGGCTGAAGTCGAGGGGTCCGGAAAGCCAGGCCTCTGCAGTCGAGCTGCTTGTCTTCCTGTACTTCCCCCCTAACTGGTCTAGCAACTTGAACTGCAGCCCTGTGGGTGGTTTTGTCATTGGGCTGCATTTGACTCTGTCAAATCATTTACCTGTAGCTGTTATGAGGCGCACAGGCAAATACTTGCGATTGCCCCACACTGACGCCTTTGGTGCTGACTGTAAATTTGTTTTACTCTCTCCTCTTCCTCTTGAGAGAAGTGAATAGCTTATCACTTCTGCTTAAACTAACACACTAAGTGTTGACTGTAATGAATACACACTACAAATGGCCTACTCCTCCATGGTGTGCTGTGAATTTGTATAGAAGTATGAAATCTTTTGTAGAAAACAAAGGTAGGGAAGATGTACGATGATACCTTTTAGAACCCAGGGGAAGCCCTGGCCAGTTTTGCTCAGTGCTTGGAGTGTCGGCCAGACCCAAGGGTCTCCAGTTTGATTTCCAGTCAAGGGCACATACCTCTATTGCAGGTTGGGTTGAGGCACAAGCAGAGGCAGCCAGTGATGTGTCTCTCTCACACTGATGTTTCTCTCTCTCTCTCTCTCTCTCTTATTCTCACTCTCTCCCTCCCTTCCACTCTCTCTACAAATCAATGGAAAAAATATCCTTGGATGAGGATTTAAAAAAAAAGAAATTAGGGGAAGTATGATGCCTCCATCCATTAAAATAGAATTGGCAGCGATGTAGTAGGGAGAACTTTTTTCTGTGTTTGCTACTTAACGACTGTGTGACCTGGAATAGGTCAAATTACCTTATGAGTCTCTCATGTATCCTCTCATGGAAATCAATGATGGGAGAGGGAGCCAGTTTCTTTTTCCTGCTCTTTGACCTAGGTCAGAGCAGTGGTTTTTCTCCATTGAGATGCCATGAACCTCCAGAATGCTTTGGGGGCATATCTTAAGCAAATGGAAAGATGGATCTTTAACATTCACCATGGCTCTTGAGTTGGGGAGGGGGAAGCTAATGCATTAGTAGGAAGAGCATTTGAAGATGCAGGAAGAATCTGATTAAATCAAGAACCTGTCCTATCAACAGAGTAAAAAGAACATATCTATAAATCTGTATCTAGAAGATGAAACTGGCCATAAACAGAATTCTGGGAGAGATGTCAGAAGAGAACTTGTGGCAGCCAACTCTATGTCTGGGGAAATATTACAAGGTGGTTTTATCTTCTTTTAGATAAGAGGTTTGTTGCCATTTCTTATCATCAATGAAAGCTGTTTCTTAGCCTCAAATTAGCATCAACATTTGTTGTCTTCTACTATCTTAAATTTATCATAAATCTTCAAATAGCACCAATTGAAGCACTCAGTTCCCCTCCTCTTGGCACATACCTCCTTTTAAAAAAGCCACTAAGTCGTATTCTAATTTACCTGGAATATCTAATGAAGTTAGAGCTTAAAAAACTCAGTAACGTCAATTCACGTACATTTTTATTTCACTGTTTTCATAACTTTGGGATAGGTGTTTCCTTCTTCTGCAGATTCAAAGGCAAGTTACTGAGCTTTTCTTTAGGTCAGGACCTCGCCATCTGTGAAGCAAAGATAGAGCCTATCCCACAGGAGTGGGACTGAGTAAATTAATATATGCAGTGATATTAAGACAGAGCTAGTCATGTCCAGATGGCTTAGTAAGTGTGAGCTCCTGCTGTTGTCATTGCCATCACCACCACCATCATCATCACTGGCTGAAAGGACAGATCTGAGGGTTTCCAAGTTCAGTCCCTTTGGAAAGCTGAAAGAGATCTTACTGGTTATCTTGATAGCAATTAAGTACAAAAACTTAGGCTCAGACACTGGTATCTTGCTGAAGGTCACAAGGAAGTTGAAAGAGATTCAGGGACTCCATAGACCAGACTCCATTTAGTGTAAGTGTCTCTGATCGGTTATCCATGGGCTGTTCTTCTTAAAGCTGTCAAAGATGGGGTCGAAAGGAGGAGTTCTCAACCTTTAGCATGTGTGAGAATCCCTGGAGGACTTGAACAACAGATTCCAAGGATCTGATCTTAGAGACTTTGATTTAATGGTGCATGAATGGGTCCCAAGGACCCACATTTCTATCAGATCCCAGGTGATGCTGGTGCTGCCGGTACATGGACCACACTTAGTAGCACTGGTCTAAAGGGTACCTTCATCATCAGAACATTATTGAGCCAGGAGTCTGCTTGGTTTTCTGTTTGCCATCTTTATGATGAAGGGCAAACCAAGGGGAAAACCATGACTCTAAGACCTTTATTGAATTAACTAGTGGCCTGGTGCACGAAATTCGTGCATTGGGGGGGCGGTTCCCTCAGCCCAGCCTGCACCCTCTCCAATTGGGGACCCCTTGGGGGATGTCCGACTGCCGGGTTAGGCCGATCCCTGTGGGATTGGACCTAAACCGGCAGTCGGACATCTCTCTCACAATTCGGGAAACCGGCAGTCGGACATCCCTCTCACAATTCGGGACCGCTGGCTCCTAACAGCTCGCCTGCCTGCTAGCCTGATTGCCCCCTAACCGCTCCCCTGCCAGCCTGATTGATGCCTCATTGCCCTCCCCTGCCGGCCTGATTGCCCACAACTGTCCTCCCCTGCCACGACCTGCCTCCTCCGCTGGGACCGGCCTCCATGCTGTGTGGACCCACAGGACCCCCCAGGCCTTACCGCGTGGAGTGGCCACTGGGCCTCGCCTCCGCTGTGCGTGTAGCCATCTTGTGGTGGCCATCTGTGGCAGCCATCTTGTGACGACGTCGCACGCGAGGGTCATCTAGGCTTTTATTAATATAGATAATATGGGAAAATCCCCCTTGTTGGCTTCCACAGAGTGACTGGCAGTTAAAAAGAAGTGAGGGCCCAGCCAGTGTGGCTCAGTGGTTGAGCATCGACCCATGTACCAAGAGGTCACCTGTTTGATTCCCAGTCGGGGCACATGCCTGGGTGGGGAGCATGCAGGAGGCAGCCCATCGATGTTTCTCTCTCACCGATATTTCTATCTCTCTCTCTGTCTTGTTTAAAATGATAAAAACATATTTTTAAAAGAAGCGATGAGCATGGGAAACATGAAGTGCCCCGGCGGCTGTGCTGGTCAGTCTCTGTCCATCCAGGTTCTCTCTCCCCTTTTCTGTTCTAGTCTGTTCCTTGGAGGCTGCCTCGGTGAATGTTCATCCAGGGCTCTCTGGATCATCGGGCTTTGATTTGGGTTGTCAACAGAAGGCCAGGAGGAGAGAGAAATCAGGGGTACCTGTGGCTCCTGCTCTCTCTTTTTCTTTGTGGTGCTGGTGCTGGTGACCGGGACCATCGGCAACTAGCCACCACCGGGGCAGTCCCCCCTCTATTGCTTTGGCTCTCTCCAGTCTCCAGTAAATCTGTCTTTCCCCAATCCCTCCTGCCTGTGAAAGACCTGCCACTACTAGCCCCTGTGTGCTGCAACATCCGATGGGTCTCTGAACCTTGCCCACACATCTCCAGGAGGCCCTTTCCCGAGCAGACCCTGGATGTCTGAGCCCAGGGAAGAGCATTGCTGGGGGAGTGACGTAGGAGGTGTAACCTTGCTGAGAAAAACCTCACGAACGGAGTGGGCATTGGCACTGATTGAGGCAAGGAAGCCAGCGTAGCCCCTGAAGGTTAGGTGGAGGGTGAGGACTGCAGGGAAGGCCTGGCCTCTAAAGCGGTGCTGGGCTTCACCACAGAAGGTCCTGAGTGGTCCCTGCTGGAAGCTACCCTGCACTAGAAAGAGGCCCACGTGCCTTTCCTGAATCATTCCTGTGCATAAACCTGCATGGTGAGGGTTCAGAATCAGAGGAGCGTTTATATGAGGAGTTCACATTCCTTCTCTGCAATTGCCTGACAGTTTCTTTTCTCTCTACCTGTGCTTTTTTCCCCAACACCCTTAGCATTGTTAGTCTATACATAGGAGTTATAAGAGGTTTATGGGGTATTTTGATCTTGCTAACTTTTGTCACAGTATATTGAACACGTTCTGAAATGCCTGCCAAAACTGCATCCACAAAGTAACAAATAGTTGAATGGAATAATTACACCTTTGGGTGCCTTTGCCCATCGGTTCCAGTGCTGGGCGTGTCGATGAGATGAAAAGCATTTTTTATGGTTTTGGGGCTCAGCCAAATCATCTTCTACAGTAACCTCCCCATGAAGCAAGACCTCAACACAGACTCCTACCAATTCTGTGTGTCTGTCAG